TTTATATATATATATATATCTATTTTAATGCAAAGTATAAAAAATATTGACTTTTATGAAAGAATAAAATACGTTTTAAAATTCGTATCGAAAAAAAAAAAAATTAAACAAACAAACCCGCTATTTTTCAATGAAATGATTTTAAATATGATCTTAGTTACAAAAGTGTTTAATATCTATTGATTTTTAAAACTCAATTCTATAAAAATATGTATACTTTAGAAGTATATATAGTGTTGTTAGTTCTTAAGTTAGTATTTGTGTTACTCATTCGTCACATAACAAAGTATCTATTTTTTCATTTTAGTCTATCCCATAATAAAGTATCAATTTTATTTTTTAGTAACTGTACTATCTGCATAACATTATAAATACCTTTACAACTTACAATATATTACACAAATATCATTACATTTACATCACACATACTAATAAGATTATTTTAGTCATTTCCACTTTATTCCTACTACATTTTAATATAATACTAATATTTTTAAAACTGCGTACAAAAAGCAAATGAATATCTAATTATGAGACGGATGAAGTATATTATATTAACATAAATAATACGTTTCTTGTAGTAACATCGTTTGTTTTTTCTTAATTTATCCTGTGTTGTTCAACACCGGAACCGCGGCTCAGATATTCTAATTACAATATTATATGCACATATTCTCACGAGAACATGTTTGGTTTGTATTTGTGTCTTGATTTTGTATTTGTGCATAATACCTAATACAACATCCATCAAGTTCTAAGGGTTCTATTTATTTTTTACGTATTGATATTTGAATATTAATTATTAAATCAAAACGTAGTACAAATTAAGAAAAAATTACAAAAATACTCTAGTTAGTGTCTTATAATACTAATAGAAGGACATTTGTAAAAAAAAAAATATACAAATATAAAGATATTTTTAATGTTAATTACAATGACGCAAAAGATAAATGTGACCCTTAGAAGGAGACGGAGCGAATATTTTTTTTTTTATCAAACTAATTTTCAAACACAAACCAAACAACTCTAATTCTAACATTTTTTAGATTTCCGAATTGATTTTTTTAGTAAATCAAAATGGTAATAAATTTCAATAGGTATAAATTAATACACAATCAAAATTACCGAAGATTTTCTTGCACAAAATTAAGTAAAATGAGATTAAAAAATTCCCAATTTCTCTAAATTTCCTAATGTACTGTTAATTACAATAATCCCCATATTTATGTATAAAGACCTACCATATTCACATTTTTACTATTTTAAATGATTGCAAATCTTTGGGGAATGTATGTTTCTTTTGATAAGTTTGATAAAATTTTGGTTTGAGTTTGGTATTAAAATAATGTTTGATGAAATATTTTATGAGAGAAAAAAATATTTTTTTCCGAAAAAACGCAGAGTTTAAATAATAAAATTTGAAAAATTTGAGGTTAAATATATAAATATACATAGGACATTATCCCAAAAATTATTTAATACCCAATATATATTAATTAATTTCAATCAAGGCCTCATTCAAACGGAAACATATCTATCAAATTAAAATAAAAATTACCCTTTCCAACTTCACATTATATTTTCCTAATTCATTTAATTATTATATTCAATAACATTTATTTTTAAAATTATATATATAGGTGTAACAACCTCACAATTTTATTCATTCATCACAAAACAACAAGAAATTTTCATTATTTTTTCTAGTTATCTATTATGGCTGCCCAAATCAAGTTTTTGTGTGTTCTTTTTTGCCTAGTGTTCATGATTCAAGGTATATTATTTCATCTAATTTTATAAATATATATTATCAAAAAAAAAAAAAAAAGAAAAAGTATATTGGTTTGTCTCTAAAGTTCACGTAGCTAATGTAATTTCATGTATAATTCCGTCTTTAATATCGTTAGTAATGGAAAAAATAACTTTAGAGATGAAAAAATTTCGTTACAAAAATAATATTTTCAATCTGGTGCACTATTTAAAAATATATAAAATTTTTATTTAATTTATGCATGCAGGCAGTTTCGGGCAGCCCTGCGCAAACAGCGACGTAGTAATTTCCCAAAGCTCCACCGGAAAAGTCGTCGGCGGTCAGCCGGAGTTCACCGTGACGGTGGCGAATAAGTGCGTTTGTACTCTGCTGAATGTTGACCTGAACTGCCCGGGGTTCAAGTCGGCGGAGGCGGTGCCGCCGAGTCTCCTCACGGTGCAAGGCGATGTCTGCAAGGTCAACAATGGCGGACCGATCGTCGGCGGCGGCGAAAATGTTCCGGCGGTGTTTAAATACGCCGCCGCTACGCAGTTTCCGTTCAGTCTTAAGGCTTTCCGGTTTGCTTGCAGTTAAGTGTACTGTACGGCGTCGTTTTGGAAATTTTTTAATAAATTAAAAATTGAGGTGATATTGTATATTGAATAATTGAGTTATAAATGAATTTGAGGACTTTGTCTACGATTACATATGTTTTGGTATTATTGGTCACAAATTTTCTCGCTAAAATATATTAAATATAAAAAATTTAGTTTTCTGGGCTTGTATTTTTTATTAGTAAAAAATTAATAGGATATTCAACATCTTTTTATATTATATTCAATTGTTTTTTTTTTCTTCTAATATTTTTTATTTGTCAAAATTTTTGGATGAAATATATTTGCAGAAGTGAGTAAACAAAAAAAAATAAAAATGAATCAAATAAGTATCATATTGATTTGATTAATAAGCATTTTAATTATTGTATTAATTGAGTCAAATCAGTATAATCTAAATATCTTATTAGCAAATACTCTCTCCTCAGTCCCACGTACTATGCCCATGTTATCGTTTCTGTCCATCCCACATACTATGTCACTTTCTTTTTTTAAAAATGATTATACACTTTAATATTATTTTAAATTTTTAAATTTTATTTTTTTTAATTTTAATTAAATTAATTAGTTATCTTAATCTTAATTTATAATTATTTATATTATAGGATAATTATTTTCACTAATACATTCTTAATTATCCACTAATTACATCTCTCCTAAAATATCGTGTGTGTCTACCGTGTAGCACACGGTATCTGTGACGGAGGGAGTATCTATTAAAAAAGCATATATTGATATAATATTGAGTAATTAATAAATCATCAAACAGTAAATGTTGTTTTATATAACCTGTTATATATTATTTTAATATTTGTTATTTCCTTTCTAAAGTAAACATACAACTAATTGTTACATTGACCCATGTACTTTACATAAAAAAAATAGTAAGAAAGTATTATATATGAAGATTGAACTTTTATCATTTTAAACAAAAATTAATATTATTCATTTACGATAGTTTTCAATAAAAAAATACATTATTTTTTTTTACAAAAATTTAAGATTTGAATAGAAAATATTTTAAATTTAATTAGTTGTATGATATAAATAAATATTTGTGTGATATTTTAAAAGTACAGTTAAATTTTTAGTATGATATTGAAAATGAAATATATATATATATATGATTTGATATTTTAAAAAAAATTAAAAATAAAAATTTAATAAAATTTGATAAAAGAAACAAACTCAATTGGGTGCATTTAAAATATATATATTTAAATTAAAGGTGCAATTATAGATTATATTTATTGGTAAATAGCAAAAAATAATCCATGTGATTTTTCGAATTCGCTGAAAACTCCTTATGGTTTTAAAATTTTCAAAAATCTACTTTTGATTTCCAAAATATTGCATATTGTCCCACTCTCTCACAAGATCAAATCCTCTTTTACCCAATTTTCTCTATTCCTTCTATTCCCTTCAATGAAATAGAGTCACATGGATGAGAAAAAAATGTTAATAAAATTTATATATTTTTTTTTAACTATAATTCTGTCATTTATCATTTTTTTTGAAAAAAAAAATATCTTTAATAAAATCTTATTCATAATTTTTTTTATCCTAATGTTTATTATATTTTCATTTTACCATAAAATATATTACTATATTTTAAAAATATAATGTTTAAATACTGTTTAAACACAATTTTATAATGATATTTTATACGAAATTTTATGAAAAAATATTAAAATTTATGATTTAGACATTTGCTTATTTATTAAAATATTTTCTTCTAACATAATAAAAAATAATATGAAATTTTAATTTAATTTATTTCTTGTGTCACATTTTTAAAAAAATAATTATTATTTAAACATAAAATATTATATCCAAAATAAAAATCAATACCAAATTCAAATAATTTTTTAAAAATATTATATAAATATTGAATCTAAATAGTAAGTGATATCTTGAGAAAAATAATACTACTTTTACAAAAAAAATAATATAATAAAAATTGAGATAGAATATAATTTTTATTTTATTTTAGAAAAACTAGGAAGTAAATAAATAATAACAAAAAAAACATAGATAACTTCTTCTCTCTCACTACATGTGACAACTTTTTATTGGATGGTAGATGGGGAATAGGAGAAATGAGAATAGAGGATTTGATGCCCTCCCTCATTTTTTTTAAATTTTAGAACTACGATGGATTTTCAGCAAATTCGAAAAACATAAGGGAATTTTTTACCATTTGCCTTGGTAAATTAAAGGTGCCATTATATAATATAGTAGTAACATTTATCATAGATTCATATTTATTGGTAAAAAATAGATTAATTAATAAAATGTGCAATTATAGAAATTAATATATATTGTGATATATATAAAGGTGCAATTATAGAATCTCTAATTTATATGAAGGTGCAATTATAGAAATTAATTTATTTAAATTATGAGAATCTTCTACCCTGTGTATTTACTGCTTCCTACCGCCATTATTGCAATTAATTAAATTTTTTACCTTATAATTTAACGCTGGCCTGCTAACCGTACACAAAATGACAATAATATTAATATCGCACTTTTTTCAATTAAACTATTTCCTGCTACGTAATAAAAATTATTTATATATATATATATATATAATATGTGGCGTTGTAACCTCATTTTTGAACATCAGAGCAGAAATGGGTGCAACGGTCAATATCTTGTGTGTGGTGTTGTTCTTCGCCATCGTCACAACAGGTAAATTTTATTTTATTTTATTTTTTATTATTAATTTTTTTTTTTATTGCACAAGGATTGTGATTTACTAAAAATATGCTTTGTTACAAATCATTCTATGAAAGCTATGAACATATCAATAGAATATTTGGTTTTGTAATTTTTATTTTTTTCAGAATATTTTTTTCACTAAATATTACGTTCGATGGATACTTGTATTGAACATTATTACACTCGAGTATTATTCTACATAAATATTTTCCAAAACCCAAAAATATGCAAAAAATTTTAAGGAAAAAAACATATTTATGGTAGATAATAAATAATACATTCTCCATCCGAGAAATTTAATCTCACTTTTTTGTAAAAATATAAAGAAAATGAGCTAAATTTTCGAGATAGATAGAATAATAATTTTTATCATACTTCTCTTAAATAAAGATATATATATATATATTCATTTATTTATAATAATAGAATAACAGTCATTTGTTGCCATGCATATAAAATAGCTCCGTTCATCCGATGTTTTTAGATGATATAATTTTTTAAAATTGTACGAGAATTTGTGTCAAAAATCTAAAATATATTATTTTAGATTGAATATTTATTTATTTTTAATGACATTTTGATTTTTTTAGAATAAGTATTTGAAGTTTTTCTTTTTATTTACAGACTTCTGCATAAAATATTTTATATTTATTATTATTATTTTTTAAAAATCAAAATTTTAAAAAAAAAATATTTGAAAAACAGAAAATATTTGTACTGATTATATATTACCACCTAAATTCATTCAATAAGTGTTATATATTCCCTCCCTCGTCTCGTATCTATTTATTTATTTGTTTTTTTCACATAGTTTTAGAAATATCAATATTATATTGAGATACAATATAAATGACTAAATTAACCCTATTAGTATTGTATGATATAAATGTAATAACATTTGTGTAATATACTGTAAATTTGAAGGGTATTTATAATGTTAGGTAGATAGTACAATTACTAAAAATAAAAATAGATAAATTGTTAAGAGAACAGATCAAAATAGAAAAATAGATAGATTGTTAGAGAGTATATATTTTAAAAATATGTTTTTATTTACCTAATCAATATATACACCCAGGTACTTTCCAACAATTTCTGCCGCCGTGTGAATACACCGATATAGATATCCGCCAAAATTCCACCGGAGATTCCGTCTCCGGCAAGCCGGAGTTCAATGTGACGATAACAAGCCCGTGCCCGTGCCCGTTAAATGACGTGGCACTAAACTGTCAAGGATTCCATACGACAACCGTCAAGCCTCGCGACGTTTTGTCGAAACACGGCGGCGTTTGCAAGCTCAATAAGGGCGGCGCCGTCGCCGGAGGCGGCGTCACCACCGCCTTTACTTACGCCGCCGCGGAGGAGTATCAGTTTAGTGTTAATACTTACCAGTTCCATTGCAATAATATTTTTTGATTTGGAATCATTAATGGCTGGCATTGTGTAATATTGCATAATTGTGTTATTAAGCCTTGGATCATATTTAATTTATAATTATCTAAAATATTTTAGATCATTTTTATGTTATTATGTTTTTTTTTAAAAAAAAATTAATAATAATTATTATTACTAGAAACCGTGGTATATAATTGATGCCATTGATGGGGAATATAAGGCTGTTTTTATCTGAGTTTTACTATTTTTTTTCAAAAATATTAAATTGATATTTTATTTTTATAGTATATTAAAATTTAATTTTACATTCAAAATATTATATCAATACATATTTATATAATATTATATATATATTCTAACTTAAGTATCTATTTTTTAAAATTCAATCCCCAAATATATATAATTTTTTTTTCAACCCCAAATATATTATTATTATTATTAAGGCTGTTTTTATGTGAGTTTTAGTCGATGCTATTGAAAAAATTAGTACAATGCATCATAATTGAAACAAATTATAAAATTGGACAATAAAGTATATGAAAAAAAAATAGTCTTACATATAAATATACTTACTTAGTCTACTAAATTTATTCTCATTTTATTTTTTTATTATCCACTAAATTTATCATATTATTAATAAGTTTTATAAAAAGAATTTGGATTATAATGGCAAGTGAAATTGAAATTGAGTGGGCCTATTGACTATTGTGGGCGCCATATTAACTATTCATATATTGTTGAGTCATCATAATTAATTATTACGTGACTTTATTTTTTAAAATTATTTTTTACACCCAAATATTATTTTATAATGGGCTTTATTAAAATTCCACTCAAACCCTAAAAATCCATCATCGTCTCCGATTCACAAACCCTAACCCTAACCCTTATAAATTACCTCACAGACAACTCCTGCAATCATCAATCCACGGCCATGGCGGCCGCCAAACGAAAAAACCCTCCGATATCAGAACCCGAACAAAATCTCCCGCCGGACATCATCGAATCCATCCTCCAACGGCTGCCGGCGAAATCCATCATCCGATTCAGATCCGTCGCCAAGATCTGGAACTCCATCATCTCCGATCCACATTTCTCCCGAATCCAATCCAATCTGGCCTTATCGTCGTCTTCCTCAACCCTATTCCTCGCCCGGAATATTCCCCGGAACCCCGCCGTCAATGGCGGACTCCGATTGCTCCGATTTCGCGACCAGATCTTCCATCCAGATAATACCTTCACCTTCTCCGATCCCCCCTTCCAAAACTCCGAAATCCTCTGCTCCTGCAATGGCCTCCTTCTCCTCTGCGAGAAATCTCCGGCGACCAGATGCTTCATCCTTTCCAACCCCCTCGCCCGCACGCACACCGCCGTTTGGTGGCCGAGCGACCGCCGGAATTCTCTGCCGGCGAATTGCCGCCCCTTCACTCAAGGCCTCTGCTACGATCGGACCTCCGGCGACTACAAAATCGTGATCGTCGTTTTCGGGGCATTCTCAGTCTACTCCTGCCGGAAAAGAATCTGGACAAAAAAATTCGAAAAATTCCCCGAAAGCAAAATCATAAACCGCGAGGGAATCTACGCCGACGGCGCGTTTTATTGGATCGGCACCGCCGCCGGAAAGCTAGATCCGGTGGACGTAATATACTTCGACGCCGCCGGAGAGAAGTTCGGGACGGTGCGCGTGATGCTGCCGGTGAACATCCCGCCGGCCGATTACGTACGCGCCGTCGTGCCGGCGAATCTGTGGGGCAAATTGGCGATCTGTTTCAAATTTTCGAACGTTAAGCGGACGAGGTTTCTGATCGGGATTTGCGCAGTTCGGAGAAATGGAGGAGCGAAGTTTTGGGACACGATAAGGATCGCCGACGACTCGCCGCCGCCGGCGGGGGAGGGTTGCTGTAAGCATTCGATTAGTCAGAGTGGCAACGGGGTGTGTCCGATCACGGCGGTTTGCGGCGTCGCCGACGGAATGATTATGGCGTTCATGGATTGTACGAGGTATGTTGTTTATGATTGTCGTGAGAGGAATGTTGTTGGTGGGATTAGGACGTTTTTGGAGGATTTCGATTCGAAGCTTGGGGTTTGTAAGGATCATATGTTTTTTCCGGTGGCGAATGTCCGGCCATGGCGGCGGTGCCGGCGAACGTCGCGGGTCGTCGAGGATTGATTTTTATTTTTATTTTTTTATATATGTGTGCGTTGTTGTGATTAGTGAATGTTTTTCTATGTTGCTGTTTGTTTGTTTGTTTTTTTTTTTATTTTTTTTATTTTTTTGGTTTAGTTATGTCAACGAATATGAATGTTTGTACTTGTTACTGTGTATTGAATGTTTGTTTAATTATATGTTTGAAAGTATTTTCATTGTTGTTGAATAATACTCTCTTCTTCTCAATTTTACCATTTTTGGAAGGATTTGTAAAATTATATTTATTTTATTATGGGACAAACAAAATGAATAGAGTACGGAGGGAGTATATTATTACATATTTAATATTTTTATTAACCAATAAAATATTACTAATCATATGTTTTTTTAAAAAATAAAAGACAAATTATGAAAAAAATAAAAAATATGATAGTTGTTATGAGTCTGTCCCTCCAATTAAATTTTTTTCTAACAAGATTCTTAAGGGTGTGTTTGTTTGAGAGATTTGGCCAAAATTTTACTATTCATTCAAAAAATTTTCCCCAAAAATATCACATCAAACACTTATTTTTTATTTTATATATTATTATAAAAATCAATTTTATATTCAAAATATCACATCAACACCTATTTATATCACATCATACAACTATTTAAATTCAAAATTTTTACTATTCAAATCCCAACTCAAAATCCAGACCTTGAGTGTGTTTGTTTGGAGATACTTTCATATAATGAAGAAATTCAAAAGAATAATCATTAATAGCCAATGTTTTGAAGTTTTGAGGGTTCTTAAAATAATATATAAATTAAATAAAAATTGGTATTTAATTTAGAGTTTGTTATATATATATATATATATATATTATAAATGTATGTTTTTAATATTAGATATGAGAATGAATTAAATAGAGTATATATTATATATTGATTTTTTTCCTATTAATTAATGTATATTTTTGTGTCGGTGAAAATTTTATGGGTGAATAAATCATTTAGTATTATGTATAGAAATTATATACTGTATTTTTATTGATTTGAAAATATATGTTAAAAAACCTATTTTATTTATATAAAGATCAACATTTAATTTAAAAAATACAAGTAAAAAGTTATTAAAAGAACAACCATGAAAATAAAAATACATTTATATCAACCGTGTGTATAGATTCGTAAAGTTACGGCAAGAGAGAGTTTTTCTTTAATATAATATTTTATATTTTTTTATTGATAACTTTATATACTATTAAATAATAGTATTATTTTTATTTGAAGTAAAAAGCAAACAAACACGTTTCCTTTTTAAAGTTTTTTATTTTATATTTCTTTCGGCAATAGAATGAATTTAACGAAAATAAATTTGAAAAATGGATGGAATAATATTTTTGTTTTGGTTTCTGATGAAGTAATTGTTGGACACTATCGAGATGAAATTTTTATTTTTAATTTTTAGAAAAGAAATAAAAGTTTATGTTACGATTATTTAAATATATATATCATATATCTAATTTAGGTAAAAAAAATTATTATTTTATATGACCAAATCAATAAACAAATTTGTTTTAAAAAACAAAAAACAAAAAAATAAATAAATATATATATATAAGAATAGTAAAGTCCAATTGCTCAGAAATCCAATAAAAACCCTAACCACAAATTCTCCGGCATGGCGGCGAAGCGAAAAGCGGCGGCGACCGAAGAATCCACAGACATCCTCCCGCCGGACATGGTCGCCGTGATCCTCTCCAAACTCCCCGTCCGATCAATTCTCCAGTTCCGATCAGTCTCCCGTCTATGGCACTCCATCATCTCCGATCCTCACTTCCCTAAAATCCAATCCCTATCTACCTCTTCTTCCCGGCGACGATTCTTCACATCGGAAAACAATTCCGGCCAATTCCGCTTCCTCAATTTCACCGGCCGATCCTTCCGCGCCGAAACCCTCGCCGGAAACCCCTTATCCGACGACGGCAGCGGCGACAAAATCAGCCGCTCCGACGCCCCCATCCCCAAAATCCTCTCCTCCTGCGACGGATTACACCTCCTCGACACGACGGACCGGAAAACGATCATCCTCTTCAACCCTAGCACCAGAGTTTCCGCCAAAATCCGGTGGGGAGGCGACTCGCCGGCGGGGTGGGGGCTCTGCCGCGACGCGGCGACCGGCGATTACAAAGTGGTGATCATCACGAAATCGAGGTCGTATTTCGTCTACTCCTGCCGGCGAATGACGTGGTCGCAGGGAAAACTGTTTTTCCGGCGGTTCAAATTCATCACCGACAGCGGGGTTTTCATCGGCACGGCGTTCTACTGGATAATCGACGGCGTCGTCGTCGAAAGCCAAAAGTCTAGAAGGCACTTAGTCTGGTACGACGCCGCCGGCGACCGGTGGGACAATCTCCGGGTCCCGGACCAGGCGCAGGACCACAGTTTCGTGGCGCCGGCGATGCTCGGAGATTCGTCGCCGGGGATCATTTGCGTGAAGCTTAGGGGACACGCTTTTGCCCGGCTATGGAGATTGGAGAAAAACGGGGAATCGAAAACGTGGAAGAAATTGGTTACGGTGGTGACGAGGGTGGACAGGTGTGGGGTTTATAAGCACACAGACTGTCCGATGAGGCCGCCGGTGAGTCTGAGCGAGAATCTGGTGATGATATTTGTGGATTGTACGAGGTATGTGGTGTACGATGTTGTGTTGGAGAGGATGGTGGGGGGGGTGAGGAAGATGCCGCAGAAGTGGGGGGGGAAGATCGTGGCTTGTTTGGATCGGCTGGATTTTCCGATGAACACGAGGTCGGTGCCATGGCGGAAGTGCAGGAGGAATTCTAGGATTTCGTTAAAGGGTTCTTGACTTTTATTTATTAAGTATTATATGAATGTGGGGATTGTTTGATTTTAAAATTTTGGATTGATTAGGGTTTCGATTTCTTGGTCACATTGTTATGATAATTAATTCGTTATAATTTTGTGGAGGGGTATGACAAATATTATGGGACTAGTTACAATAGGGTAAGTATTGGTCGTTCAAACAAAAAATCGACTCTACTGTTTCGGTTAATTGGTTCGGTTTGATTCAAAATTAAATTTGTAAATTTTGATTTCAGTTCTGTTATGGTTTTTAATTTTTAATTTTGATTAATCGAAAATTTTGAACTTTTTTAAAAATAATAAAAAATTATATATGAATAAATTATATATATTATAATTTTGAGTATTTGTCCTTTTTGATTATATATGTAAAATACATGTTAATAAATAAAAGTTCGATTTCTTTTATTTTAAACCAAAACCAAACCAAACTATTTCATTTGGTTTATTTGGTTTTGAAATACTTTGGTTCAGTTTCAGTTTTTATAAACTGAAAACCGATCAGAATTGAAAAATTACTGAAAAAAAATAACTATTTATTTAAGCATATTTACTACTCCTCCGTCCACAAACTAATATTTTATTTTTTTATTTGAAACGTCCAACAATTGTTGAATTTTTTTTTAAACACAAATTTTATATTTTTACCATTCATTATTTGTTACTTTTATTATCAACCCTCATTTATTACTTTTATTATCTACCCTATAATTAAAGACAAAACTATCACCTAAAGAAGCAATTTAAGTGCAGTTAAATACTTTTAATTTGAGGCAATTTTAAATGTATAGAAAATTTGATACAATTTTATTAAATCGCACATAAATTTTGTGAAAAAATAAAATAAAATTAGATTGAGTTGGAGAGAGTATAATGTTAGTTTACACGTCATGTGCCTTACCCAAACAGCATCTCACAGGCCAAAACTTTCACAATGTTTTCCAGCAAGTTTAGAGTATGCTGTTCTTATTACCGAAATCCCTAAATGTAAAATTATAAAACTAAATCAATATCAAAATAAAAAAAATTTAAATATATATATATAGATGAAGCTTTTCAAACAGAAAATTGCAACTTCCCTGTAATTTCTACCACAGAAAATCGATCATCATCTTGGCCCAGATAACTCAACTGCATGTAAATTTTCGGTCGAATCGACGATCCAATCGGAGCTCGAATGCGGCACGAGCTCCACCTCCTGCCGGAGAACCTCCACCTTCTGCCACTCATCCCACCGCTCCGCCAGCCCGTCGCCTTCCAGCATCCTCACCACATCCGACATCTTCGGCCGATCCATCGGCGAACTCTGCGTGCACAGCAGCGCAACCTGAATCAGCTGCTCGACTTCCCCCTCGACGTAGTTCTTCTGCAAGTCGGGATCGACCAACATTTCCAATTTCTTCTCTTTCAGAAGCCCTTTCACCTGAGAGACCCAAATCGTCAATACAATGATCGGCGGAATTAACGAAAGAAAAGACGCGTACAATGCGTTACGTACCCAGTCGAGCAGCATAACGTCGTCGTCGTTCGCAAGTCGCGCCAGGTCGAAGGCCCTCTGCCCGGTAATCAGCTCGAGAAGCATGATCCCGTACCCGAATACGTCGGTTTTCTCCGAAGATTTCCCCGTCGATAGATACTCGGGCGCTATGTGCCCTATTGTCCCTCTCACGGCTGTCGTCACGTGCGTGTCCTTGTAGTCCATGAGTTTAGCCAAACCGAAATCGCCAACAACAGCCTCGAAATCTTCGTCGAGTAATATATTTGCAGCTTTCACGTCACGATGTATGATCTTCGGATCGCAGTAATCGTGAAGATACGATAGCCCTCTTGCTGATCCCAGAGCAATCCGCTTCCTCGTCGCCCAAGCGAGCGGCGGCTCGTTCGCCGGACGCTCTACAATTTAAACCAAAATTAGGACTCCGATAAAAATTCAGAGCTCAAACATATATATATATATATATATTTCACCTCGTAAGCAAGACGCGACACTTCCATTCGCCATGTAAGGATAAACGAGCAACCGTTCGGTGGGAGTCATACAGAAGCCGCGGAGTCGGAGAAGATTACGGTGCACAGCCATGCTTATCATCTCGACCTCAGTTTGAAATTGAAGCTCGCCGCCGGGAGTGCGCTCCTCTTTTAGTCTCTTGACGGCAACTAGCGAACCATCGGTGAGACGTCCCTTGTACACCTTCCCGAACCCGCCTCTCCCCAATATGTTCTTGTTGCTAAAACTATCGGTCGCAACTTGCAGCTCTCGGAGAGAGAATCGTTTGAGTTGTCCCAAATGGACTTCGGGGTCTTCCTCCGCTGCAAGTTTGTACGATAAATTGTTCGGTACGTTATGTATTGAAATAAGATTAATCCGTCGAATGAAACTACCTACCTGGAACATCGAAGAAATATTCCTGCGGTTTTCTCCTACGCCACCATGCAAATGCGATGGCAGGGACTGCAAATAACAGAGCAGCCCCGGCCGCAACCCCTCCAGCAATGGCTCCAGTCACGCTGTTTCCTCCTACAATTAAGTTTTACGATGTTATATAAAAGGGGAAGTTCCGTGGAATTGTTTCGATTACGCAAACATTGGTGAAATACCGTCGGTTGCAATCGGTGGTGGTGACACAAATGGTGGTGGTGGAGAGAAGGGCGGCGATCCAGGGCAGGGCCGTCCGGTGACAGGACCGCATAAATTCAGATTGTTTGCAAAACTGTACATACGAAACCGTTAGAAATTATCAAACTCGACATAAACTTGGACTCAAATCCATAGTCGGATCTCAAGATATTGAAATACCTTATAGGTGTGAATAATGAAAAGGAACCATTATCCGGAACTGCGCCTGAAAGCTGATTGTTTGATAGATCGCTGCATAATAACATTCAACAACACAAGAACCAATTTACTTCGATGCTCCATTTTGTAATAGCTATGAAAGACAAACTTCGATGCTTACAGTACTTGAAGGGATGAAATATTAGTTAATGCCATTGGAATAGGGCCCGTCAAGCTGTTGTTATTAAGCCGGCTATCCTTGCAAAGAAGACAAACAACGGTTAACTGTAAAGCAATATTGCTAAATTCGACAAAATGTTAAAAAAAAAATTAATAACACAGCTTTCCAGGTTCACGTCACGCACAGAAATCGCAACTTCGACAATTTGCCCAATGTTTCTGGAATGGGACCACTAAAGCTGTTCAAGTACAGGTCCAAGCTCACCAAATTAGTAAGATTTCCAAGGTCATTCGGTATTGGCCCGCTAATGTTATTACTATACAATTCCCTATCACCAAAAACAACCAACAGAAAAAATATTAGTACAAAAGAGTAAGATTTTCAAACAATTTAAGCAGATATGCCGAAACTTTGGGAACTAAAGAGTCTTTGTAATTCCATCCCGGGAATGACGATTATTAATATCCCAAATTTCTCCACCCAATATTCAAGAATTGCACGAAGATCATTAGCTGTAGATTTTCTAGTGGCTATGTATTATAAAACAAATAACAAGAAACATAAACAGATTGTTGTTGGATAACACTAAGTAGTTATGAACGAATGATATGAACACATACAGATACTGCAAATTCTTCAAAAGTCCGAGCTGAGACACCAACTGACCAGATAGTGCGGCGTTCCCAAGATCACTAGCAAAAGACATAGAAGAGATACAATAGAAATTCGATTAGCAAACCAAGCTGCAATTCCATCTGAAGATCGAAAACTAAACTAAACTAATTGAAACCGAATTAAACTAATAAATTTCTTACACTCTTATCACACTGTTATCATTGTTGCAGGTGACATGAAACCATGTGCAGGGGTTGACAAGGGTAGGGTCCCAACTTTGTAACACATTGTTCGGATCATCTAAGTTCGTCCTAAGGCTATGTAACGCATCACCTATTCAAACAAAACCATATCTGAGATTCCACAGTTAATAACAATAAAATGTCCTCTGAATCATTCAAATCAAAATAAATACAGAGCAATTTACACTAAACCTTTCGATGCCTAAATGATACAAACAGCATGATATCACCGATAGTAATAAGGACTACTTTTTACATCACTCAGTAGAGTAGAATAATGGAATTGAAATGCTTAAATCTTCATAAATAAAAAATAAAAAAAAAAGGAAAACCTAAACTCCAAAATCCCCAAACAAAATTTACAATGCACCAAATATTCATAAAACAACAAAAACAGTAAAATAAATTGAATTCATTGTCGAGCGTTATTGAACTAAATCAAGGTATTCAAACCTTCCATATTAGCATAAACACGCATCAATGGAAGAAGCTCCGCCAGGATCAACCACACCACCGGCGACCACCACCACCGCATTCTTCCTCTGTCCGCGCCCATACAAATCGAGCAACGAATTCACCTGCTCATCAAATAAACAAAGCTTCAGATCCAAATTGATAAGAACTTAGCAACTATAAATAAAAGCAGCCACAACTCATCACCCCCAATTTATCCCCAACATTGCCGCACCCGATCCCTATCCTTATCCCCTAACTCAAACCGGGCGAGATTCCTGCAACCAATTTTCTCCTCCAATGTGTCGGAAAATCTGAAATCGTCGGACTTTTGCGAGGAGTGTAGTCTTCCCTTCCTCCGCACTTTGAATGGCTCGCTCCAAATCTTTTCTTAATTTTTTCACCACTCGAAAGTGTACTCTACTTTTTCCTTCCACTCCGTATTAATGTATCAGTCTTCTTACTTTCTCTCTCTAGAAATCTCTCGTTCGCTGTGTCAGTGCTCACTCTCTCTCTCTTCTGTGAGAAGCGTGAAGGAGAGAGAGAGGGTCTGTGTGTGTGGTGTGATAATTATAGTCATTACCTTTTGGCCTTCGGGCGTGGCTGTCTGTGTGCGCTTCGGGCACCTGCCCGAACTGCCCGCCTATAGCCGCACCCTCAAAACGGCTTCCCGCTAACAATAGTGACTGTCACTACGTTTTTTCATTTCCTTCTTTGCCCTTCGCCTCTATTCTTGGATCCTGTTTGTAAATATAAAAATTAAAAAAATAATAATTAAAAAGTTAATTAGAAAAAGGAATTATAAATATAGGGTGGGTTTGTTTGGGGGTTTGGATTTTGAGTTGGGATTTGAATAGTAAAAATTTTGAATTTGAATAGTTGTATGATGTGATATAAATAGGTGTTGATGTGATGTTTTGAATGTAAAATTAATTTTTAGTATAATATAAAAAATAAAAAATAGGTGTTTGATTTGATGTTTTTGGGGAAAAAAAATTGGATGAATAGTAGAATTTTGTTAAAATTCTACAAACGAACACACCCATAATATAAATAATTAAGCAAATAACATGGGACATGAAAAATATATATCTATATATGAATATTGAGAGTGTAGTAAAATTTAATTTTATATTCAAAATATATATGTATATTATATTAGACAATTATTTCCCCCCGTCTCACGTACCATGTCATTTTTTTTTTTTTGGAAAATGATTACACACTTTAATCTCATTTTAAATTTTTTAATTTTAATTAAACTAATTAGTTATCTTAATCTTAATTTATAATTATTTATATTATATGATAATTATTTTCACTAATACATTTTTAATTATCTACTAACTACACTCCTCCTAAAATACCTACCGTGTCTACAGTGTAGGTACGTGGGCCGAAGGTAGTATTATAATTCAAATTTTACTGTTCCCTCGTCCTATTTTTCATTTCTGTCCATTCCAAAATAATGTACGGCTTATTTTCTAATTTAGTAATTGTACTACTTATTTAACATAATAAATATTGTTTCATACAATATATTACACAAATATCACCGTCTTTATATTACATAATATTAATAAGGGTATTTTCATTTTTTTTACTACAACCTAATATAATATTAATATTTAAAAATTTACGTGAAAAAATAAAAGGTACTTTTTATATGAGATAAATGAAGTATTTAAAATTAAAACTCAAAATCAAAATCTCATAAATAAACAAACTCGAGCATGGTTTATTTATTGTATTAAATTCTTGTGTTAAATTAAGGTAGGCATAAAATATCATTTTGTCCAAAATTGGTATTTGATTGTAAAAGCATATCTATTCAAATTTTGTATAAATAAATAGTAAAATATTTTAAATAGTATTTTTAGATAATTAAATAAATAATACAATAATTTATCAATAATTAATTTAATAAGTAATATTTTTGGAGCCGAACTGCTATCTAATTTTTATAATATATATAAAATTTGATGTATTATTTATTTATTTATTTGGTTCAAATAATATTATTTAAAAAAATTTATATATTCTTTTTGTAAAGTTTGTATAGTTATATATATTTACAAGCATCAAGTTTAAACGAAGAAAATATTTTGTGTATATTTTAATTTAATAATTAAAAATTTTAGTAATAAATAAAATGTGAAATGTTTATACATTTTTTTACTAAAACACACAAAAAAAATATTATGCAATTTATCCTGAATTTTTTATGGTCTGATTTTTATTTTTATTTTTTTTACTTTATTTATATTCTTTCTTTAACAAATTGCATCAGATATTTATTATTGATTTTAAAGATTATATCGAAAATTGGATAAATCATATAATATCTCATTGTATTTTAATAAAAATAATTTTATATTTTATTTATATTAAATTAAATATGCACAAAATATTCTCTTCGTCTAAAATTAATGTTTGATTGTAAATATGAACTTACATTATGCAAATTTATACAAATAAAATATGTAAAATATTTTAATAGTTCTTATTTTTTAATAACATCAATCATTTATTTTTATAATTTTTGTGGAAAAAAAGAAATAAGAGTTTGTCTTCAAAAACCTAAAAAAAAACAAAGAATTATTTATTTATTTATTTATTATAAAAAACTAATATTTAATAAATTTACCTCTTTTATTTATATAAAAATTGTATTATTAAATTAGTATTTATACCCAAATATCAACTTTGAATCGTTAAATATTGTCTACATTTGTAAAAATATAGTAACTCCCTTGATTTATAAATTTGTATGATCACTCCGCCTATCACCAAATGATTTTAAGTTTCAAGTTTTGAATCTTTTATTAACAATGTTATATTATTTACCCTTGAAAATCTATTGGTAGTTTAAAGTTAATTTTAATCACGGTAGTTGAAGCAATGGCAATGAAAAGGGAATTGATTGTAAGATGCAATAATTTTATTTCATAAAATATTATTTAAATAAAAATTTTAATTTATCATTTTATTTTAAATTTATTTTAAATTACAATAAAATAAATTATAAATTATTTATTACTTTATCCCTTAGTTAAGAAAAAAAAAAACAAAAATGTAGTTATGAGTATTGTATAATACAAATGTAATAATATTTATATAAAATATTATACAAATATAAAAATATTTTTAATATTAAATAAAATAAAGTAAAAAACAGCCAAAAATTTATCAAGGGATATATTAAGTTATATGTGCAATCACAGTTTTAGTAAATAATATTTATACACTTAATTATGTTATAATGACAGTCCATTGAATCATTTTATTGCATTTGAACTTTTTTGTGTTGCAACAATTTTAGTAAGTAATCACACCACTTTATCATTTCCATACTTTTAAATGAAATTGTTGTTATAATTAATATTTTGAATAAAATATGTTGAAATTAATACATCTTTTTAGAGAAATAAAAATATATATATATATATATGTAAAAATCAAAAATAAATAATGTCAATGCATTGTATTGGGGTGCAAACTCAAGTCTTACATTAGAAGTTGTAAAAAAAATTACATGTCTTATAAGTCTTAAGTGAACTCCTATAAGACCTTTTGAAAGAAATCCAAAAATAAATTCTTGCGACTTTAGCCCAAAGCTTGCACCTGTTTGGAACAGAGGGAGTATTTTGTAAAAAAATTATATATATATATATATATATATTAAAATATGAGGGTATAAATATGTTTTTAGAAAGTAAAATAATTATTAATATCATCTTTAAACTATGGGTCCACTTAATAATTGTGTAGGTTAAAACCTATAATTAATTAAGTGTTGTGTTTGACTGAATAATGACTTAATAACAAATTTTTAGTGTTTGAAAATTGCATGACTCTACTTTCTTTTACGAGAATAATAAATTACTTTTAAAAGTATATTATCGGGTTGTATTAAAAAAAAAATATATATATATATATATATATATAAAGAAAAGTATATTCAACCAATTATTATTGTTCTTTTAAAAGACGATATTAAGTATCCATTCTTTATAATTTAAAAATAAATTTCAACTAAATAACATCAAAACAAGATTAAAAATATAAGCCCAACAAAAAATGTAATCTTTTTATTGCAAATGCATGAATTAAAAAACTCTATCCTTTTTCACACTAGAAGATAGCAATTGTGGATTTTTTACATTATTAAATAAAATACTCCCTCAGTCCGCGAGCGATGAACCTTTTTACTAGGGATACGGTTTTTTAAGTAGTGTAAATTAGTAAATTATTAATAATAAGTTATGATATTAATTTATTCTTTTTTATATGAATAACATTATTGGTATTTTAAAAAAATTTAAGATTATATCTCAAAAAAATATATGCAATATGGATATCATTTTTTAGATAATAAAATTTTATATAATACAAATAAATAAATAAATATTTATCATTACCATAAATTAGTTTTATAAAAAATGAGGAGTTTTAAATATAGAAAAAAAAATTATGTTAGTTGAGGAGAGAGATAAAAATAAAAAGGGTTTTGAATAGGTCCTACGGTAAGATGTTAGAAGTTTAATTAAATTGATTTATATTTATTAAATATATTTAAGACTGATAAAGTTACCAAAAATAAAAATGAGTAATCTTTTGTGGGACTTATACAAATATAAACAAAAATAGATGGTAATATATATATATATATATTCCTAATTTTCTTTGTTTTGGGTCTTGAATTTTTAAATTAAAATAGACATTGAGTTTGAATGTGTATTTTAAAATAAAATAAAGTATAATCATACCTAAAAATTGAATGGTGAAATTTTGGAGATTTTTTATTATTCTTTCAAAAAATATTTCTCTAAAAACATAAAATGAAATATTTATTATTTTTTATATAATATTTTAAAAAAATTTACATTTAAAATATTATATTAATATTTATTTATATTAAAGAATTATTTTAATTTCAAATTTTTCATTCAAAATTCAAACATCCAAGCAAACACTTATAAACTTACAATGTCCACAAAGTCTTGTATTGAGTAAGAAAATCTTGGAATGATTTATATTCACTCAATGTACATTTTATTTTATTTTTTTAATATATTATGAAATAATAGTATTTTATTGATTAATAAAATTATGTATAATAGTTTTGACATTTTTGTCTTTCAAAGTATCAAAAAAAATGGAATATATATATATTTTGTAAAATTAAAAGTATTTTGGTATTTAAATATGATTATTTTTTAATATAATTGAAAATAACTATTTTTAAATTAAACCGATAAAAATGATAAAAAAACAAATGATATTTTTTATTTTATTTTTTAAATTTTGGTTTTGGATTGCTACTTGTGAGTGGTGACTCTCAGGAGAAATATATATGTGCATTCATCTAAAAGAAATTTAAATTAAATTAAAATTAAAATTTTAAAAAATAAAAATGCAAGAAGCTCTTTGAATAAAACAAAACATTGCAAAAAATAACGGTGTATTTATTTTGTGACATTGTTAGAAGTAAATTTTTTTTTTACGTAAAATATATAAAAATATGTAAATAATATAAAAATA